TTACAGGGGTTGCTGCATCGTGTTATGTTCATGGTTCAGGTCAAATTACTGGAACTACTGGGAAGAACAGCTTATTCCAGGAAAGGTCATTAAAGTTCGCTACATTGATTTCAGAATAGCATCTGATTCTTCAGCATAAATAAGCATAGAATCTTCATTGACGGATCTTGTGAGAACTGATTCTGAGCATTGTTTCGGTGTAGAAACCCGGGCAGGGTGGAAGGAAGGAAACTTCAATTTGCTCTCAAATTATTTATATTCAAAATTGAAGCCGAATCCTCGTCTTTACCTTCAAGATCTCTCCACAGACTTTGCTCCCCAACCTACCTCTGTGATTCCCTGCCACCCTGCTCCGCCAACTATTCTCTCCCTCCCGTCTACACTGCCCCACTATCAATAGGTGAATTTTCAGCTACTTTGTTCCTGCCCTTTGGAATTCTCTTGCAAAATTTCTCTGCTTCACCCCCTCCCTCCCATCTAAAGACCTATCTTTATGACTTCAGCCACCTCCCCCCACTCCCCAATACCTCCCTCCCAACTTGGATTCCCACTCAGTCTTTGTGAAGTGCTTTGAGATGCTCTCTCTACGTGAAGAGGTGCTACATAAGTGTTAATTGTCGTCGTCGGGTCCAAATCTCAAAGGGATCTTTAGAAAAATGATAAAAGGTCACTTTGTTCTTAGTATTAAGGCAGATCTATTACGTTCTCGCTTTCAAATTTAGTTTGTAATTTTGCCACAGATAAAATCCTCGTGGGATAGAGAGTTATGATGGACTTAGCTACCTTTTTCTTATTTGCAATGGAGTAAAAAAAAGTGCCAAAGTACGATTCAAATCAAGAATTTAAAGTTACCCAAGTTTGCTGATTCATGCAGCCCACGTCATGATCGGAGCTGGAAATGGCCCGAAGTGTTTCTCCCTGTAGATTGTGACTTCATTTTTGGAGACGTGAAATTCAGCTGTTTGCAAAGGCGAAGGACAATCCTGCTTAAAATGCAGGGTTCGGATAATAAAAATAAAAACAATTCTTGCATTTGATATAGTGTCTCATCAAGTCTTTGAGACTCTCAAAGCGCTTCACAGGATATACTGTAAAGTGCATTGACTGTATATTTTGTGGGTGAAACGCAGAAGCCAATTGCGCACAGCGCACAGTCAACTTGCTTCCCTCCCCGCCGCTCCTCACATTTGTTAAAAGGGTATAACAATAATTCTTGCATCTGATGTAGAAACTGGGTTAGCAGATCTGGACAGTGCTGAAAAGATGTCATTTTGTTTCCAGTTCTCAAGTCAAGTTTGCTCTGATGGCTTCTGCACATAAGTGCACTACATGGTGTGGAACTGAGCCATACAGACCAGAATCAGCCCCTGGTCTGTGATGAGCCAGACTGATGTCAGTCAAGGCATGACAGGTGTAATTAATGTCTAAGTGACTCTTTCGGGAAAGTATGAATGTGGGCGAAGAGAGAATTGGACTCAAGCACGTGAGGCACTTCTCATACATACTGTCTTGGGCTGGGCTCACACATGAAGAATGATGACATAAACAGGTCCCAGAAGACCATCATCACCTGTGGAACATCAGCATGAATCAGTGTCTTCAGGGTAGAAGGAAAGAAAGGGGAGGTGGAGAGAGAATACATTTGAAAACATATTTCCTTGCTGACCATCCGTATTTCTACATAATAATTTGCTCCCCCACATCAACCTCCACCCCCCAAATTTGTTTGTATAACAATAATTTTTGCATCTGATGTAGAGCCTTTCACATCTAGCGGACATCACAAAACGTTTCACAAGGGGTCCGTGCAGCCAATTTACATAGAGCGATGCAGTAAATGACTAATTTTATCTGGGAGAATGCTGGCCAACACATTGAGAGAAAGCCCCTTCCCTTTTCAAATAGCACCATGGGATCTTTAACGTCCATCTTTAAGGAAACAGGAACTCGGTTAAACACCTCATCCGCAAAACATGCTTGTTTTGCCCAACCCTTATCCACCGAGCCCACTCTTTCAGGTCTGATGAAGGGTTCTGGTTGAAATATTATCTCATCTGTGACGTTGAGACCCTGATTGATCTGTAATAGATGTTTAGGCAGGCTGTGACATGTTTGAAATTGACAGTGTGCACTGATAAAGAAAAAACTGGTTATGCAAGTGCTGGTCTACAGTGGAGCCCCATTGTAATGGGGAGTTTATATTCCACAAAATCCCAACCCTTGCTAATAACAAGGTGCAAAGGGTAGTTTCACTGCATGTACACAGCTGATTAACTCAGTTTCCGTGCACCGGCAGGTTTTTTGCGCTTAAAAAAAGGTTGACTTCCAGGTCATCAGGTTGCATCCGTGTCACTTCCCGTGATCTGCACGTGCGCAAAGCAGCAAAGAGACATTGTCGTCAGTCTGATGACCTGGAAGCCACTCATTTTAGCCCGAGAGTCGGTTGATGGAAGTGAGCAAGCTGACTATGCGTATCCACAGTGAATGGGATCCACACTGCAACCACATTAAACTGAATCTGAGCTGTAAAGAAGTTCAGCATAAAGGGGAAACACATTAGAAGCAAATAATAATCCTTGCATTTGATATATCATTGTAACATAGTGCATGTTCTTTTACAGAAACTGCATTTGTAGATAGGATCATAGAAAGAATACAGCACAGAAGCTTGTGCTAACAACCAGAGCTAACTTCTCTACTAACCCTGCATTTCCCCAATATTCAGATACTCACATATTTACAATTTGCTATAAAGGATACTTACACCATTTCCAAACCGTTTTCTTTCCTCACCAGATCAGTGAGCGCCATTTTCTCTAACACAGTACACCTTGTGTTGCTATTAACAATTGTCTGTGCTGCTTTGCTGCGGATTTAGCTTGCTCCGTTATAAAATGTACGGACTGGATTGCAGACATAAAATGCCAAATGTAAATGAGCTGTCAACTTTTGTCCCGTCTGCAGTGTACATATGTGCCAATATATATGGAAACCTTAGTGTTTCTGTCCCGTCTATTTGCACGTACTGTTCTTTATTTCAAAATCTGGAAATCTCAAGCAGCGCACAATATTCACAGGCAACACAGCGGCAAAATTTAACTGCATAGTCAGCTTTAAACTACCTAATGCAATGAATTTAAGCTGCACTATTAGAAGACGAGTTAACGCGATGGATCGAGAGCTCTTGGACCATGGACTGAAGGGTCAAGGTCCTCACATTGGGAAAGTTCCATTTATGGGGTGGGGCCAGACTGGCGAGAAAATAAAATTATTCATTGAACAAAAAGATTAAATCAAAAGCTACTCCAGCGGCTACGGGTTAAAATAAAATCGAAAATTAAAATTTTCAAATTAAAAACAAAACGGGCAAAATTCAATACCACGCGGGGGAAAAAAAAAGTTCTCTGGGAGGGTTAACTGTGTGATAATTATCGGCAGCAACATTCGCTGCACCACAGAAATCACTTTGCTCATTGATCTCAAGCACATTGATCGGTAATCAACTTCACCCAATAATGTGAATGACTTCAGGTTAACTGGGATGCAGATTCATTAACCAATTCCAAATTCTACGTTAGTCGGGAATCGGGCTGACAGGTTTTAAGAAAGCATTTTAATTCCAGGCTGGAAGACAGGGAGAGAGGGAGAGAAAGAGACTGTCCTTTCTGTGTAAGGTCATGAATCACCAGCCTTGCTAATTATACACAAATTTCATGTGGCTTTGAGATCTATTAATGCAACCCCCTCTCTCCCCGTTTCACATCTCACTTCACTGCAGAGATTTAATGCTTCGAACGCTCAAGTCGCAACACCAATTCATATTTAAAAAGCGATAGTTTTAAAATTCACTGAGAGTAAATCCCAACTACTCAACAACAAGTATCAACAGCAAACGTGCCATGTGACTGCCAGGAAGGTGGAAGGCGAACTAGATGGACCTTAGTCTTTTTTCGTCCAGCATTTCTTATGTTCAAATTCTAATACACAATGGATCACTTAAGAGGTTTGAAGCTTTGACCCAGAATATATTTCCCTGCTACTGTCAGTCTCAGGGGACGGGCCTACTTCTATTATTATGGGTTTGATTTTGGCATTGTTCATTGCATTAGCTGTTCAACACATGATGTCACCCAGTGGAAAAACCCACATGGATAACATGTGAGCTACATCAGGGCAGCAGGACAAGAGGATATTGGTTCAGGGTTGTGAAGGGTAATTTCAGAATAATAGATACTAACCAGTATTTATGCACACAACGAGTGACTAATGGCTGGAATGGGTTAGTAAGATCCAGCTGGAAAGCAGGAATGATTTTAAGAAACACTGGGAAGTCCATAGGCTGCGTATTCTAGAAGAATGAGGTCAAATGAGCTGAAGAGTCTTCTTCATCTGAATTTGTAATTTGACCTTGTGTGAATACCATGATTTTGGCCAAAATGTAAAAAAAAAGTTTTGAAAAGATTCTGAAGTGCTTTCAATGGCAAGCTGCGCAATTGTAGCTGGATAGACTCCAGCAGTACCATTCTAGGATCTCCAAGCCTTGGCTCTTGCCAACCGATTACTCTATGGAAGACGTAAGCTCCATGTGTCCCTCCAAGGAGCGAGTGCATACTCCATTCCAATACAAGCGAATTTCCATGTGTGGGTCGGATGAATGGAATTCTCGGAGAGGAGGTTGTATTAATGGTCCAACTGTTAAAACACATTCCAGACCAGGGCTTTCTGTTAAAGATCCACTTTAAAGGTGTCCTTAAAGGTCAACTTGTCCATAAATTAAACAGAACATCTCACCAGGGAAAATACATAACTCAATGCTCCAATGTTCAGTCTCCACCAAAAATGAGTGATTAAAAACAAATCTGAACTGGAACACTTGGAAGGAAATGGTCTCAGCAATGGTACTGCGTCACCCAGTGCTACTTCCTCCTCAAGACATCCCTGCAATCTTATGCTTTGATGTACACGCTGGGTCTCAATAAATCGAGCATCTGAGTCACTGGGCCCAAAAGCCCCACTTTATTCCAGTAACTAGGTTTAGCAAAAAAGAACAAGGGAGCTTATTGCCCATGGAATGGCATAGTACCCAAAAGATTCAAGTTCATCCCAGCCCCACCCCCACCCTCAGCTTGTTCAGTGCTGCACTTTTCAAAGATCATGTTCCAGTTACTAAACATAGTTTTAGTACTGTGGTATCACTACTTAAAGGTCACAGATAAAATTAGTCTTTAAGCTGTGCTTTCGATGAAGGAAACAAATGATACTGATGAAAATACAACAACAGCAGCAACAAAGTTAGATTTGTATAGTGCCTTTCATGTCGGGAAGATGTCCCAAGGCGCTGGACAGACAGTGATTTGGACATGAGCTGTGGGTTGGGATCGGGGAGGGTGGAAGGCAGCGGGGGAAGGAAGGTGATCAAAGGCATGGCCGAAGAGAATGGTCTTGAGACGGGTCTTGAAGGAGACAAGGGAGGGGACAAGGTGGAGGGACTGTGGGATGGAATTTCAGAAGGTGGGAGCAAAGTGGCTGAAGTCCTGCCCACCAATGGTGGGACGGGCGAGGGACGTGAAGCAAGCTTTCTCTCTGAAAGCTTTGAATTTTCCAAAGCGTGAACAGGCCTAATGATTGGCTTTACCATCTCTTTAGTAGATCTGTTTCTATTGATGAACACAATTAGATGGCCTTCTTCTGTGCTGGACATCTCTGTGATATTTAATCTTTTTCCTTTCTTCCAGTTTTGTTCCCTGCTGAGGCTCAGCACCTTCGGATGTCCTTCCGACGTGAAAGGTGCTACTTGTTGTTCTTGCATCTTGCTGAAGGACAGTTCCACGATGGCCTCACCTCAGGGATTATTCTTTATTTGTAAGCCTAAGGAGCAAGCATCTGTAGTAGGGTGCGAGGAGTGGGGAGAGAGGGGGGGAAAGGAGGTGAGAGGTGAATTCAAATCAAGTCTGATGCTCTCCTCACCTGACAGCAACAACATCAACAACAACATGTACTTCTACAGCGTCATTCACTCGGGGCAATGTGTTGGAGGGCTTAAATACCTGCGCGTATTTTCTGCAAAATTCACTGGCCTCTGATCAGCAGTGATTATTTTCATCCCTACCCGGGTGCCGCTGGAGCTAATTTTAACCCCCAAGTGAGGTTCACTATAACTGGTACAGACCTGGGCAACTATTTTTGAACCCTGGTTCCAATCTGCAGCATTTCTTAACAGCACTCGTTTAAAAGGCATCCCGTTAGGATTCCTGTTGACATCACAGAAGTAGCGCAGTGGGGCTCTCCCACAGTTTAGCTTGATATACATCTGTGCATCAGAAGGTCCCATTTGTACAACTCAGATTACCTATAAAGGAATCCGGTTACATAACACCGTAAATAAGACCTGAAGCATGTGCACACACACACACACACACACACACACAGACACACACACAGACACATAGAGCTGATACAACTTAAAAAGTAAAGTTGCAAGATTGCTTTACAAAGATACCTAACACAGCACAGGCAAAGAATAAAACCTGTGACCTCCCTGGACTGTAACGGCTTCATAGGCCCCCGATGTGATGCATTTACTCTCTGAAGCATCCTGGAAGCTGGCAAAAAAAAAAAGGATTTCAAGTCACTTAAAGAAAGTGCTTTAGTGACTTAATAATAATAAATAATAATCCCTTCATTTGATATAACGCCTTATCACAAAGATGAGATATACTGTACACTGGATATACTCTAAGGTGGATTGACGGTGCATTTTTGTGGGTGAAATGCAATAGCAGTGTGTGCACAGCAATGTCTCACAAACAGCCATGAAATGAATGACCAATTTTATTTGGGGTATTGTTAGCCAGAACTCCTTTCTCTTTTTGAATAGTGCCACGGGATCTTTAACTTCCACCTGAACAGGCAGACGGGACCTCGGTTTAATGTCTCATATGAAGGACAGCAGCTCCGACAATGCCACAATCACCCCCACCCCCAGCGCTGGAGTATTATCTTAGACAATGTGATTCTAAGCCCCAAGTTGGGACCTGGACCCACAACCTTCTGACTCAGAAGCGCGAATGCTACCACTGTGCCAGGTAGGCACATTTAAAACTTAAAACATATCGGAGAAATGAACATAAAAATGCAATACTGCGTACATAACTGACTTTCTTTAACCTGGAAAGCACTGCGGGCTTTCATTTAACAGTGACGAATATTGGCAGCAGCTGCGCAAACCGAATTCATAAACAACATGAAACAAAATAATTTCCAATTCCATCCTGGCACAGAGACAGGGCACTCATCAAACTTTAGGAACTGCAACAGGAAGTTTATATTTGTGAGATATAACACTTTACCACTGGCCTTTAATTTTCCACATGCTTTGTGCCAGTATGTTTACTTGTCCTCAGCTCACTCCCACAAGGAAGTGAGTGTAGTCCATTTTAGTATGTTAATAACTGGATATTGCTGACTGCTGGACTGGATAGCTATTGAAGGGAGTAGGCAAAGCTAACGTAAAACAGTTTTGCCAAGGGCAAGTGTCTTAGCCAGGGTTTTCTTCCTGAACTCCACCTATCTGATCTATCTGTTCATATGGTTATATTCTGGATGGATGGAGCCCTGGTAAATTCTAACATTGGGTTTGACAAAATGCTACAGCAGTTAGAAAAACATTCAATCTTTTTATTTATTTTTGGCCAGCCAGTTTGTCTGACTCATGCGGAAACCCATCACCATGCTGAAGAGTATACAAAGCAAACTGAGAATTCCACGTATCCCACCTACAAATGGAAATTCCAGAGACAGATTGTTAGAGTGGAATGCGCACTCTCCCTCTGGTGGGATGGATCCAGCTTACCCAATTACGGAAAGTATTAGGCGCAGGTTGGCAAGAGCCAAGGCTTGGAGAACCCAGACTGTGCGTTGGGGTAACTGCTGGAGTCTAACAAGCTAAGACCGCATAGCTTGTCATTGATAACGCAGTCTGGCAAGCTTTCCCGCTGCTTGTCCAGCTAGGACCACCTTACCGTTAGGGCTTTGACTTGCAGGGTTAACAGGAGCTGAGAGGGATGACTCCCTGGACCCAGTTCAGCTCCAATGAAACCCTGCTTACCTCCCCATTGGAGAATAAAAATGAGCTAGAAAAGATGGTGGTCTGCATTGGGAAACAGCATCTTGGGACATAAAACATGTATCATTCAGGGAACTCCTTGCACGTCACATGGATTCACAAGAGCTCGGCTCCGAGAAGATCTTGGGTGAGAGTAGAATTCTCTTGAGTTTAACTGAACGTACATAGGTATCTCTGGAGATGATTCACTTTTTTGTCTAAGAGCCTTTGTCCTCTTGCTCCGCTGCTGTTTTCACGACACAAGCTTGTTCAGTGGTATTGTTTTAGATCCCGCTACTTTCCTCCCCTCCCCTCGTTCGAAGCAATTATTTCTCTTTTGAAATGTTCTCTTAAGTCACATGTTTAAAACCTATGTTCTCTCGGATTTCCCTCACGTTCCTTCCTCATATCATCCTAATCTTTGCTTCTGATCTTTTCAAAAGATCATTTTGCAACCCCGCTGATTTTTATTTAAGGGCATAAGTTTGGTTCTACCAATTTGTCCTCGTAACTTTAAAATCTTTTTTTTGCTCCTCTCACCAGAAGCACTCAATTGATTGATGCAGGACCACTCACCAGCATCTGCCAAGAGCTGATAGGCTTCTTCAAAAGTACTTTGCAAAACTTAGTGTTTGCAACTGAAGGGAGCCTTCAGAGTTACATAGAATAGCATTTGCAACAGTGCCACCTGTAATCGTCAGTTCTGCTTTTTCATATCTATGTATATATAAACGCAAACCAGGATGAGTCTCGCACCACAGTGCATGAGTCATTGTCTTGTCGCCAGAGATCAGTTTGAAACAGGTTTCCTGTTAACTGGAAATGTTGCTGTGCCTTGAACCCCACCCATATGAGGCGTTCACGAGACTGTAAATGGAACAAACTTTTATTTTCCTTAAAACTACTCAACATGTCACTGCACATCCACACCTTTGGTTCACAGGTAAAGTTCCTTTAGCCAAAAAGAACTCTGTACCATTGTGGGGGAAGGAAGGAAGGGAGTGGGAGGTTTGAGGAGAGATTTGAGTGGTTCAAATCCACATAATCAGACCTTCCCACTCACCCTTAATCTGCAGAGCTCACACACTCTCATTCGATCCACACTTTAATCTGCATCTTCCTGCTCACTTACACGGACAGCTCTCACAAGGGTTTGAAACTCATGTGAGATTTGGCCTGATAAATGCTTTGAGCATGTATACAATCTCCCTCTGGCATCGTGGTTTCGCAATGCTTGCATTGAGGCAAGTACAAGCCTGTTGATTTCTATATCCACAACTGCGTCCCACTCTCTAGCCTGGGAGCAGTAGTAATGGCACAGTTTAGAGAAGGGATTTCAGAATGGCTGATGAAACAGACACCATAACAGGAGGGTCGAATTTGTGCTATTTCTGAACCGTGATTCCATCCATTTCCGTTGACCATGGGAGTTCCACTCCATGAATGTCCATTTGAAGTGGAGTTCCCACAGGACGGTTTGATTTACAGGAAGGAGTCTCAATTTGTTTAAATCGGGTTCTTTATTTAGGAATTGGATTTTAAAAAAGCCCACTCCAGCATTCAAAAGGGAATAGGATTAAGCACTGAAGGGAAGTTAATATCAAAGGTTATGTGAAAACAGGGAGGAAAATGAAATGAGTAAATAACAACAGAGGAAGGACAAGAATGGAGACTACGGGAAGAATGGTTTTGTTCTGTGTTTAAAGTGTAAAATGTATTCTTTCTGTGAATGCAATGGGGAGCGTTAGAGAAATTAAATTGTTTTTAATCTAGGTGTCACGCTGCCAGCATTTCTTAAATCGGACTGTACCTCACATGCAAAATGTCTTATCCTTATTGCTGCATGTTGTTACTGATCATTCACGTCTTGTGCAGAGGTAAAGAATAAGAGGAAAATTCAACTTCTTCCAACAGGGTGTTCTGTTCTGGTGCGCATAAAATGATAATAATAATCATGCCCGCATTTGATACAGCGTCTTTCACATCAGGAGGACGTCCCAAGTCGCTGGACAGGTCTAGGATTGGCACTCAGGCTTGGGGTCAGGATCAGGAGGGGTGGAGGGTAGGGAGGGTGGGGGTAGGAGGGTGCCCGAAGGCACAGTCGAAGAGCATGGTCTTGAGACGGGCCTTGAAGGAGACAAGCGAGGGGGTGAGGTGAAGGGACAGTGGGATGGAGCTTCAAAAGGTGGGGAAAGAAAGGCTGTAAGCGCGACCATCGATAGGGGGGCAGGTAGGGCAGGGGCCGTGGAGGAGGGCAGAGAGCGTTCATGTCTCAGGTCAGAACCCTAAGCTCAGTGCAGTAATAAAGGAACAGGATAAGGTGGGATGAAGTAATAAGACACTATATCAAATACAAGTATTATTGTATATGAACTCTTATCATCTTACCAGCAGCAGCACCAGCAATTCAGCCTCATGGCCATGTTAACATTGTGTGTCAGGAATTTTACTCTTGATATCTTTGCTCTGGAACATGACGGAAATTGTGATTCATGTTTGCCTCGCTTTGATGACGCTGCTGATACCATCTACTATTTAGTTAAGGTGGATATGGCGGTGCACCTGACAACTCAATTTTGTTTTTCTATGTTATCTTTATTTGAAATATTGAAAGGAAGATAGTATCTCTCTCTTAGATCAGTTTGAGATCCAGGCAGATAGGTTTTACTTTCTGTATGGAGCCAGCAGATCTTCAAACACATATTTGGGATGGGAACAGATGGTTGACAAAAAGCATCGTAATTTGACCAGCCCGTCTCCACATTGTAATGCTGCACCCAGAGGTAATGTGACTCATCATGACTGGGGGAAAATTCAAAAGGTGTTCACACGGCAGGAAATCCGCAGTGCTGGACTCAACATGTTTCCCTGGGACACTTGCATAGATTGCTCAAGCACACACCTACCTGACACTTCGACAGCTCATGGCTTGGATTGATTGTGTCTGCTGCACTTGGTATGTATCTCCTGTGTATCATCCATCCTGTATGTGTCAGTATGGCAGGATTTGCAAAAGGTGAACAAACTTATAAAAGAAAACTACATTTTATGTGTTGACATATAATATTACCTTCATAATGTTTCTCAAAAGCAACAGTTGCTTCAAGAAATATTTTTCCAGTGAATGCAGTTTCTCCCTGTGTCCTGGCCAGCAATCCACCCAAAACGAGTCACAGTCACTACGCTTAACAGAGAAACGCTGTGAAGCAGTTTGGAGATGCTTCAAAGTAATAAAACTGTATAATTGCCAGAATTATTATTTTATTATCATCAGGTATTGTTGTTAATTTGGAAGTGCTCTCACCTTCTCCAATAACCGACCTTCTGTGACCTTTATACAATTTGTCACTTGTGTAAGGTCACAGAAATACCTGGAAGGTGCCGAGCTGCCGATGAATATTAACTGGTGCAGTCACTTTCACTGTGGCTGTCAAAGGTGTTGGAATTCTCCAGGGAGATTCCAGATACTCAATGAATACGGAGGCAGGTGTTGGGAAAAATTGTGGCTTGTCAAACCGCCATCACTCTCTCATTCAGTGTAATTCAGTTAACAATTCTTAAAAATCTCTTTAAATAAAAAACATACATCTAGGAGTAAATATAATAGGTCAGAGACACAATCATCCCTTTCAGTTCCCCAATAGTTGTTCCTCCATGTTGCTGCCTCACTTTCTAGTTAGCATTTGTAATAGGTTTTCCTCATAGCTTTCTATAAACTTCAAGAAATGCAGAAATTTGCTGCTTTGTCAGTCTCCAAATCTTACATAATAAATTCCCTTCATCATTTGTCTTAAACTCTTGTGCAAGAAGCTCCATCCAATTTTCAGGGCCAAAGATGTGGAGATTTCTCAAATTCAACGATAGTTAGCAATTTTCTGTACATGAGAACTGGAGCACCTATCAGCTGACCAGTCATATGCCAGGATATAAAGCAACAACAACAACAACAACAAAATTACATTTATAGAGCGCCTTTCACGTCGGGAGGACGTCCCAACAGCAGGACTTTCTTTCTAACAATAATAAATTGGTCATTTTCAATCCACGACTGTTTGTGGGACATTGCTGTGCGCAATTGGCTGCCGCGTTCGCCCACAAATATACAGTCAATTCACTTTACAGTGTGTTCTGTGAAGCGCTTTGGGATGTCCTCCCGACGTGAAAAGCGCTATATCAAATGCAAGGATTATTATTATTATTATTATTATTTCTTATCTAGTGAATCGATGAGCCATGCAGGAAGATCCCAGGATTGATGCCTGCTCAGGGATGCATATGTTGATACCAGCTCCCCACTGAACACTCTGCTAAAACTCAACACATGTGAAGAACGGTCACTTAGGCTACGTATTGAAAAGTGATTGTAATGGGGCGCGTGTGGAACTGTACTTCAGTCACAAAACAAATGAGTCAAACGTCTTCAGGAGCGGAGAAATTAGCAATTTTAAAATGTAATTGTAATAAAAAAATAATAATAATCCTTGCATGTGATATAGCGTCCTATCACTTATTTGAGACGTCACAAAGTGCTTCACAGAATATACTGTGAAGTGAAAGATTTGCAACAACAACAACAGCAAATTACACTTGTAAAGCGCCTTTTACGTCGGGAGGAGTTTCCAAGGCGCTGGGATGCAGGTTTAATGCGAGTTGTTTTGTGAGAATTTGATATTTAGCTACGTGTTCAGGAGACTTTCTGGGCAAGTTTCCAAATGTGAAACTTACGTAAACTCAATTTGATAGAAATTGACTGGAAACTAACTGGAAGTCCCACATGGCGAAAGTAACTAATTTTAAAATGTCATGACATGTATATTTGTTTTTAAAGAATGGGTCAATTCACAAAAGATAATTTTTACATCAAGCTGATGATCATTTGTATCATTTTAAAGGAGGTTGTTTAGTGTGTGTGTTTGTGAGAAAGAGAAACCATTACATTAGCTCTTATTGCCTTTCATTTTAATTTATGTTAACAATGGCATTTTCCCTCTTTCATATTGTGTGTTTAGTTTCTCCTGATTTGCAAAATGGTTCCTAACCTCTGCACGAGATATAATGCTAAGGCATTTGGTTTAAACTCACCTGATAATAAATGAGGTGCTATCCCTCGTCTATGCAGGAATGGTATTTTATGCCATGAGATAATCTGGAGACATTACAAACACTCCCTTTTCAAATATTTCAACGTAAATAAGTCAGAATGTCGCACATCTGAAAGCAGGGAGAGGGGGCCCTCCTCATTTTAACTACCATCATCCAGCACTCGATTTTACATGTAAACTTCATATAAGTGATCACTGTTTTTTTAACCTTTGTTATTTATTAATCATTATCATTAGTGTTAAGCCTCTGGACTGGAAACGTGTATATTTGGCCAAACCTTTTGCCTTGTCAGCCTGGCTCAGTTGGGGAAGACCCAGAAGCATGTGGTTCAAGACCCTTCCGACACAGTGAATTCACGGCTGACACTCTCAGGGGGAGTGTGGCGTTGTCAGAGGTGCTTTCTTTCAAATGAGACCTTAAACTGAGATCCCGTCTTGCTTGTTTAGCCTGACCATTGGCACTATTTAAAAAGAGAATGGAGTTTCTCCCAAAGTCCACGTTTAATGAGACCACATATTGGCTGACTCGGTTCAAAGTACAATTCGCTGCTAATCTTACTTAACTTAACTGGACACAAACTGTTGTTTAAATAAATGAGAGAAACAAAAATGCCAATCATTGCCCTCCCAATTTTGTGGTCTGAAGTGCGTTGATTTTCTCCTATTTGCGGGGGTGGGAGTGAAGGGATGGGGGTTGGTTGAGGTGGTGGCTTCAGTTCATTTGTTATGTACATTCATGACCCCAGGAACATTTTATCAGACGCTTTTGGGAAGTCAGCTGATCAGCTGAAAATTGATGGGAAGCCCAACCTTTTTTTGTAAATTGAGGAATGATGTCAGAGGCTGATCTGCATTAAGACTGTATCTTGAACCACTGGATGCCTTTGCAGGAACAATTGCTACATCTGCAGCTCCCCACACCCAGCCAGTCAATTCCATTTACTGTAACTTACTCAAACGCGCAGCAAATAAAGACAAGTTACTTCCAACCCTGATGTTCTGCAGAGGCGAGCGATTTTCTCATCCTTACTCTGATACCGAAGTTGAATCGGTTCCAAGTGCTAGGCTTTCCTTTTTTCGCGCTCCTTCACTGAAGCTGAAAATATTGGGAATTAAACGCACAATGTGCGGACACGACAGGTGTCTGATTAATCCTCCAGTCGCCACATACAGGGCAGACAGCTTCTCAGACGTAACTGTTGAGAGGTATCAGTGGAGAAGTTGTTGGCTTCGGAATACCTGAGAACCAGTCGCTGTGTCAAATATCATAAGATTACTAAATTGAATACATTTATAATTCTAGGTGTTAATGAACATGTCACACCATTGCAGAACTTACCCCGTTGCACATAAATGTGGTATAATGGAACGTCTCAAAGCACTTCACAGGTAATTGATATCAAGTGTAGTAACTATGCATTTATAGGCAAACACTGTATCCAGTTTCTGCATAGCAAGATTCCCATTAACCTTTAAGTGAATGATCAATTTATGTGTTCCTCCAAAATTATCTGGGTAATGGTTGGCCAGTTCACCGAAAGAAACTCCTTTCTCTTTGCAAACGAACAATGTCATGGGATCTTGAACATTCACCTAAACATGCAGACAGGTTAAAGTCTCATCTTGATATCCCTCACAATGCAATGCTCCGTGCTGCACTGGAGCGTTAACCTGGACTGATCATACCTTGACGTTGTTGCAAAACAATGTGAGAGAGAACATTTAGGTGTATCATTGCCCTGATCTTTTTGTTCTTACCGTCCTCTCCTAAAAGTGGAATTATTTCTGAGGTATGTCTGCAAAGGATGCCAGCATCTCCCTGGTACCTTGCCAGTATGTGTTTGAGTACAAGCCTAAAAGTTGGCAAACCATTTAATTGTGGTGAATGGGGAGGGCTCAGAGCTGCAAGATAATAAAGACAGATCACTGGTTGTTCACAGTACAACAAGAAGTAATAGCAAGAAACACTGTCCCAGCAACAACAACATTTATATAGCGCCCTTCATGTTGGATTGTATTAAACACTGCACTAGCACTTCAATTAGGGCAGTAAATATGTACTAACATTGCTTATAGAACAGTAATTAAATAATGTAATAGATATGTTACTACTGTAATAACCCTTTTCCTGGAAGGTTTGATCTGTCTTTCCACACATATCAATCCCACTAATTTACTGCAACACTGGAATTTAATCTGTGACCTGCATTTGAGCAGCGAATAGACAAGTTGGAGCTCTTCCATCTTTGAGAAAAATGTCTGAGAGCATACCTTATGGAGGTGTATAATATTTTAATGAGATTAAAAAAGTAAACCAAGAACAACACTTTAGGATGCACTAAAATGGTAGAATAAGAGGACATATGTTTGGAGTTGCAATGTACAACTTCAGGCCAGACACCGGGAAGCTTTTATTTATCCAGAGGATAATAAATGACTGGAACAGATTGCCAAGAAGGTGATTGAGGCCAGGACATTGGACTCATGTAAGAAACAGCTCGAATCTGTGATGAGAGGATAGTAGGGTTCTGGAAGACTGAAATCAGATGAACTTCACCCAAACCAATCTTGAGGATCTTGTGACATTTGGAAACTGGATTGCATTGCTTACAACCTCTGACTTGTGAATATCGGATTGTGAGTTTCTGAGCAGAATTCTCTACTGGTGAACAGCTAGCCAACAAAGTCTACAAAAGGGCTGTTGAAAACGCCAGCTGTTTCCTGATATTCACAAACTGGAAGTTGCAATTAACGCAAGCAATTTGATTTGGAGATATTGCAAATTAAACCCCACTGCCACCAAGGATCAACCAACCAACCAACCAACCAACCAACCCAATCCAAATTGTATGTCATTTCAGTTGTTTGCAGGTGTAACCCCAGAATCAACCCTACTGCACACAATTCTTGTTCAAATTTGAGCAAGGACTCTTTGCGTGCTCTCAAGCTGAAAAAAAATATCAGCTTCCCTCTTTTCAGCTCTCTGTGAACCGGGGCATTTGCGCAACGCAAAAAAACAAAACAACCACCAAAAGAACTGGGAATGTATACCACAGAAAGGAGTTAAAATGCAAATTAGAAGGAACGATAAATGAGGGGGAATAGTGGAATCCCAGCCACAACGGGACAGAAAAAATAATGGTGCGTATCATTCAAACAGCTTTAAGTTTTGAAAGTCTTAGTTAGGCCAATTCAAGCACAACCTTGGTATTGTTCATTGCAGTTTCACCAAAACATCAGAGACCGGATTTCGCCTACCGTCTTAAAATTTAAGATTGTAATAATCCTTGCATTTATACATAGCACCCTATCATGAATACAAGACGTCTCAAAGCGCTTCACAGAATATACTGTAAAGCGTATATTTTGTGGGCGAAACACGGCAGTCAACTACACACAGCAGCGTCCCATAAAAAGTCGATAAATTGTTCAACATTTTGGAAGATTAAGATTAAATCAGTATTCACCAACTCTTTATAAGCACTATGAAAAACTAGATTCCAAATTAAGACGGAATCTATGCATTTTCCAAACTTCTTCATAATCTCACATTTTAAATCTTTAAATTGTTAACAAATGGCTTGAAGTCTAAGGCTGTAGGTCTAAGACTGAATTTCAAGCCTCGCTCTCCTGATGTGGTCCAATTAACATTGTTTGTCATCTGTATCTCTCTTGTTGATAACACAAATCCCTCCACAACACATTCTCTGGATGACATGTTAAACCGAGTACAGTCTGGCTGTTCAGATGACGTTAAAGATCTCATGGCACTACTCGAAAAGAGAAGGGATTTTCTCCCGGTGTCCTTGCCAACAATCCCCAGTTAAAGCTGATCATTCGCTTCATGGCTGTTTGTGGGACATTGCGGTATGTAAATTGGCTGCCGCATTCGTCTCCAAAATACTCAGTAATTACGATCAAAATCCTGCAAAGCATTTAAAGATGTTTTCATGGAACAATGAGGCGCTATATCAAACATCAAGGATTATTATTACTATTACCACTTTGACAGATCTCCCTATATGGTTAAAAATCCAAAATATTACAACATTTAAGAGAGGTGTAAAATAATACAACGAAAAATGCAAACAGCAGCCATTTACCTAATGGGTTTGTTCACAAATGCAAACTCTACCTTCACCTATTGGTGAAAATCGGAACAGCAGTGTGTATCTTAGGGCAAACAGACAAAATATTCAAGATAAATGTAAAATCTTGCACAAAGCTAGAAAACCTTTCACAAGTTCTTAAATCATTTGATCACTAGATTTCTAATGTGAAACAATAGAAAGCTTTACAAATTGACTGTTACATCTTTCCGGGTTCTGCTTTTGTAACAAGGCCTTTAACAATCCACTGGGAAGAATGCCACTTGCTCCCACTTGTAGGTGTTAAAACAATTTTTGAATGTTAGTTTGCTAGAAGTTAGAAATTAAGGTTAAGATTGCCATACAATTCGGAAACTTTCCGGGTCTGTGGGATGGAGTTCCAGAGTGTGGGGGCAGAAAGGCTGAAAGCCCGGCCACCGATGGTAGGGTGGGTCGGGCGGGAGACATGGAGCAGGCTGGAGCCCGCTGAACGGAGGGAGCGGGCAGGTTGGTAGGGAGTCAGCAGGTCAGAGAGGTAGGAGGGGGCAAGGCCATGGTTGGCCTTGAAAGTGAGGACGAGGATCTTGAACTCGATCCTCTGGGGATGGGGAGCCAGTGGAGTCGGGCGAGGGGGGGAGTGATGGGGTCGCGGAGCCTGGTGCGCGAGAGTACACGAGCTGCAGAGTTTTGGATGATCTGCAGCTTGTGAAGGGAAGAGTTGGGAAGGCCGATGAGGAGGGAGTTTCCATAATCGAGCCTTGATGTGACGAATGCGTGGGTGAGGGTTTCGGCAGCCTGAGGGGTGAGGCAATGGCGGAGTCTGGCAATGTTGTGGAGGTGGTGGTAGGCAGTACCGGTAGGTCATAGCACGGATAAGGGGCAGAAAGGACAGATCGGGGTCAAACAAGACACCCAGGTTCTTGACTGGCTTAGTGAGGTTGAGAGACATAACAAACATGAGCAAGTGCCCAATATTAAGACACTGTATGGTTTGTTAGTTCAAAAATAAACATCTTTCTTCCATTTCTCATCTAATTTCATTTCAGTTGTGGTGGTTCAAGAAAAGTCTGAAGCCCGTCAGTCATATGATTCGGAGTCATCTGTAAACAGAAGTGTCAGCGAGTGACCTTCTAATATTTGATGCTGTCTGAATAGAGTCAGTCTGATCTGTATTGGCATTGGGGAGTGAGGGGGCAAAGTGAGAGAATAGTTTCCTAAAATGATAAAGCATAGGGCCAGACCAGTACTCCGAAAGGGTAATAGTTCTGTTATTGATATCCCTTGTCCAGCAACAGTATACTTTGAGAAGTGGGAATGAGACCCCTCACTATTGTTTACTGCCATATTTCTCACTTCATTATTCAATCTGATTTATTCTAATATTTGGAACTGATTCTTAT